ATTTTTTTCACCTGGGTCATTTCTTACCCATGTGAAAGTTCTACTATCTCACTTTTTGCCTTCAACAGTTTGAAAACTAGAGAAATCATTAATATTAAGAAGAATGCCAAAGATGATAGTTTTCTCATCTTGTCTTTGTTTCTCTTTTCCTCTGGGCCACATAAGGATATTCAAGTCAGCAGAGACAGTGTTACTCTTTAAAAATCCTGCTGATTTAATATTTAGTAGGTGATGGATTCCACTCAACAATCAGTCTCAGGAATAAAAATAGTCTGAATCCTACTCCACAGGAGTGCCATCCACAAATCTATAGATAGAAACCCAAAGTATTGTACAGCACAACAGTTCCTGCTCAGTAAGCTTGAGACAAGCTGCTGTGATTCCCTATATATACACATATATTCTGAGCTGATGCCTGTCAAACCAGCCCCTGGTTAAGTGGCAAGAATAATATAGCTTCCTTTCCCTAGAGGTAACTGTCCTCATTACTGAAACGAATGAACCCCTAGGTGTATAATAGAATCTTCTTTAAAATATTCATCATATGACAGCTGATATTTCAGCCATATTTGGTTGGAATGCTACATTTTGGGGAACTTAGGACTCCATAGTCAATTAACCTAGTATTTTGCTCACCATCTAATTTATAATTTTATCATAAATCATTAAACATTTATGTTACTATGTAACTTGTTATTCTCCTATTCAGGACTGAGTCAAACAAGAAGATCAGGCTTTCTCTTTCTGCAGCAATATCCATTAAAACATCTGGACTAGCAAAGCTGAAATTTTACACTTTCCCTCAGCCAGAAAACATCAACTTCTCCAAGGTGAGTCACATCATCCAGCACGGTTCTGTTTCCTTCACACTTCTCAGAATCAACACTTCAGACTGTGAAAACCTCCCTCTGCCAGCAGGTCTCAGGAAGACCATGAGCAGGCAGGGGGGAAATAACACAGGGGCCAGAATTCTCCACCAGAAATCAGAACAAAAAAAACTATGTAGGAAGAGAAAGAAATAAATAAAGCAGCAGGTTATTCACCCCAAATATTTCCTTGTTCAAACACCAAACAATGCTCTCCTTTTTTGACTCTCCATTGTTACTTATCAAAACAAATCCTGCATTTTTCCCTGCCTACTCTTCCCATTTTTTTCTGCTACCTGTTCTTAATTACAGCCACAAATTTCAGAAAGTCTTATTCCACATGCCTTCCACTGCATTATCTCACAGCACAGGTGCCTCCACAAGCCTCCCCTGTCCTGTCCATGCGAGGCACGTCAGGCAGGCACACAGAGAGCCCCGCGGGGGGAGAGTGTCACCGACATGCAAGGCTGCTCAGGAAGTTTACACAGCACTTGCTCAAACTCTGCAAGCCTTCCTGACACCACCTCAGCATTCCAGCATCATTTTTAAGTGATTTCTCATGTGATTAGTGCTGTCTCTCCATTCCCACATGCTACTCAGACACTGGTGGCAAAAAAAAAAAAAAAAAAAAAAATCATTCTTATTCTCATCAGGACTTGTTTGTCATCAGAATCCCTCTTTAGTTTTAGTAATTTGCTTAGTTTTAGCCTACTTATCTCATTATGCTGGTCTAATTAAAATCATTTGCTGACAAATACTGTCAGTAATGTAACAGTTGGCTAAATTAACACTGGCTTAGCCTTAGCTTTGTTATCAGCTTAACTACGCAGCACTGATTGATGAGCATTTTAAAGCAGGAATTCCTTTCTTCAGGTCAAATGCAGAGAAGGCAAAGCTGGAGATTTGAATGCGATACATCAACAAGTCTTACCAGAAGAAAGTCAAATATAATTGTGCAGAAGTCAAACCAAACTCACATCTCCACAACTTCCCTGCAAGCTTGGTCATAAAAACAAAGATGCATTTGGCTCAACCTCTTAAAACAGAAGGCACATAGCTTGACATCTAAAATTACTGTTATAAGCAGTATGTCTTGTGGTTTGATTCTTATTTACTTTTTTGGCATAAATTGAGTATTTCTAGACAACAATTATTCCTACAGACAAAACTTAATTGCAATATTCATCACCAAATATGTCTAAATGATAGGGATGCTGAAGTGTTTTACAGTGAAAACACATCCAATTTTAATGACGTTCAAAAGAAGAAATGTTTATTTATGGATTATTTAAGGTATGCAAAGATCTGCTGCTCACTATTTCTGAAATACTGACAGCTTTTTTTTTTCTTTTTTTTAAGAGAGAAAAAGAGTGCAGGGGAAGGAAAGACTTCACATCTTGTAAATACTTGTGGTGAGTGGATCAATGTTCCCAGCAGACAGACAGAGAGCTCCTGGGTCTTTTGACACTAGTTGAGATCAGATGATATACAACTGAAGTCTGAAGACAAAGTTGCCTCTAAGAGGTTGCATCTGGTGAAAGGGTGGAGAGGTGCTGATAACCCATTACAGCTGCAGGGGGATGTCTCAACATGTCTTGAGAAAGACTGCATATTTCTCTGTTTGGGGCTGAGGTTTGCTACTGTTCAAATTAAGTGACATCTTTTTAACACTCCTAAAGAAGGAAAAAAGGTGGAATCCAAACAAGAACAATATCCTGTAGAAAAGTGCTGTCTATTTAGTAGGCTCTTATGAGGGGGAAGAAAGCATAACTACATATGTAAAATTAGCTCCTCTACTGAAGACCTAAATTGAAAACAACTTTAAGAGAAGATGAGAATATTTCAGAGCAATATATAAATATAACAGAACCATGGAAAAAAAAAAATACAGAGAAAAATCCAGGTTTTGGATAAAATTTTCAGAACACCCTTTCCCACTTCAGGAATTTGCAACCATCACCTATTGAATGAGAGCTGCTGCTGTTGGTCTTCAGAATGATCTATTAGATGAGGGTGCACAGAAATATTGCAGGGGGAATACCAACCTCCTAGAGATTGGTATCTCCCAGAGATACAGATTCAGCCTGCTTGGAATCAGATATTTGAAAAGAAGCTAGAAAACTGTGGCCTTGCATAGACTTGACAATGTTCCACTGGAACAACCAGAACCCAGGTTTGCACAGGCTCTAGCAAGTTCACTTGCGCAAGAAATCCCAACTGTTTAAAAAATATTATTCAGCTTGCGGAGAGGAGTAAGGGGGGAAAGTGAAATATAACACACAGGTAATCTTTATTGCTCTGAAAACTGCTATCACTGGCCTCCTGTCAAACCATCCACAGACAAGAAAATACACCATCTGCTGCCATTATTACAGTCCAATTCTCTGTAGATTCAACCACAGGAAAAGAGGAAGTCCAGAGTTAGGCTTCAGCTTACAGCACATGGGCTGAAAAAGAAAAATAAAGATTATATTTTGCTAAGCCAGCTAACAACATGCTGCTGCTCCAACACTCTGCCTCAGGCCATGCAGCCTCAGTTGCACCATCTGGGCTGGAAAGACTCCAGGGAGGAAAGAGAGCTGAGAGTGCAACAAGTTGAGGATCCAGTATAACCATGACCGTTCTGTTCTGTGAGTTCACCTGAAACCTCACCTTCCCAGTTCCTGTTTCTTGTTCTCAGACACCTGCTTTGTTAAATTGTTATTTGTGATGTGTTCTTCTCTATCCAGATGTCTTAATTACTTGTTTCTCACTGAATGCTGTCTTCATATGCCTTTCTGGTGTACAGTCTTCTCCCTGGATTCACAAGGCACAGCATCCTCATGAAATGCCACTTACAATGGAGGCATTAGGCACCAGGAATAAAACACAAGTTGAGATTGTTTTTAAAAGCAGTAAAACCCCTTCCGAGATCTTGTGACATCAGTTATCAGAAACAAAGATAAAATGCTGTTCCTATTTTCAGCAGCAACATTCCCATTGATTTTAACACTGCAGGATATGCCCCTGTGCACTGAAACAAATCACCTGTATATGAATACAGCCAGGATGAAGTGACCTCAGGAAAGCAATTTCTTATCCTTTGATTCTGAGGAGTAACAGTAAAAAGATCTGTCCCTTCAATCTGTATCTCAGTCAAGTCACCCACAAATAGATGTAACATTCTGGATCACACTCATTTGTTTCCCTTTCCTTGACACCTTACCATGCTTCCCATGTTGTTTAGACATTTCCTTTTTTTCCTGACATGCAAAAGTTACCAACTTTATATGAGGCCATAATGCAAAGACGTGTGTACTTTCTGAAGGTTAACAGTGTTAGCTAAGGAATGAAACCCTGTGGTCTCCTAAGGGAAGAAACAAGAAGGCCATATAAATTGCCTGCAGAATTAATGTGAAAACTCCATTTTGGATAGCCAATCAGGGAGTAGATTGGGATGTTTAAGTGCAAATCCACAAATTCATAATATTGTGCTGGCAGTGCAACACACACTCCCTTTGCAATTCTCATTCACAAGAGAGGAAGAATAAGAGTGACTCATGAGCTGCCCTGCCTCAAACTCCCCAGCAGAGCTGTGGCTGTCCCCTTAACATCCTAACACCCCTTCTACCAACTGCAGAGGCAGCAATTCCCACGGGCACCTCCATATCAGGCCAGAAAATGCTCCTGGCAGGGCAGGAACAGTTGTCCTAAAACTCCTGCTCAGCTGTACACAGTTCCATGTGATGGGGATGGATCCTGAGGTCTAAGTGTACAACTGAAATATTTTTCTACTGTCTTCATGATATCAACATCAAATCTTAAATTGTCTTGAGCAGGATAGGAACTTTGCATGGCATCAGATGAGCTGCTGAATGGAAAATGTACATTACCTAGAAACTGCCTTCAAAACTCATTTTAAAAAGAGAGTTTGGAAAAATCTGACATTGTTTTCATCTTTACAGATGGATTAAAGAAGACACCTGAAAATAATTTAGAAAGCTGCCTATGTTTTTTACATACATACACATTAATTTCTGCTTTTCAATACCCAAATCCTGCCTATTACCACTGGTCTTCTCTGCAGAGAAGCACTGCTTCTCTGCTGCTAGCTCATCTCATCCCCAAAGTAAAGGCAGAACTTGTTCTTACATGTTGAGAACTAGCACAGAGCAGAATTTAATGATCAGAATAGTACATACTACACAGGCAATTGCAAACATTTCAGTGCTCAGGATTTTGAAGGAAGTTATTTCTATGCTACAGTTATGTGGAATGTTTTCTTAAATATTCACATGCATATTTGAGTCCATCCTGGGATCTAGATATCCAGCAATGGATTACAAAATCTGATTTATAATGGTTTTATTATCAGGCCTTACCACTGCCAAATCCATGTCCTCTGACATCTCTAATAGAATCCCTTCAGTTCAGGGAATATAGTGACACCCAGCAGCCGAGGAAAGGATACAGGTGTTCAAACACTACAGGAGATGAAGTCAAATTTCCTAGGCCAGAGAAGGATGTGAGGAGAAATGAAATAGAAGGAATGAGCAAAATGTCCTCTTGCAGCAGGTCCATGTGGGCATGGGCACATCTCTCCCCTTCACTCAACAGACAGTTTGCAGACTGAATCTACTCTAATCTCCTTTCTGCTCCTGGAGAGGGATGTGCAGCTTCACATCACCTCTGTCAATGAACATCAAACATGAAGTGAGGTTCAGGTATCTGTAGGAAAAAAGGAAAAAAAAAAAAAAAAAAGGGAAAAATAAGCATAAAAGTACTCTTTCAGGAGAGAACAAGTCAGAAGAGCAGAGGATGCAGATCCAGACATTCCTTGGCAGTTCTTATCCAGTGGTGTCTGTCCCCTGAGGGCCCTATGGCAGCTTCTGCTGAAGTGACCCATTTCTTGCAGCCTATATCCAGGGAGCATGACCTGATGCCACCACACCAGCACCAGCTGGCATTGTTTCAGATGTATCACAGAGCAGAAGAGTGAACCAAGCAGGGACAATCATTTTTTATTGCTTAAAGGGAGAAGACATTAGGAAAAGCTATCTATATTGACTCTGTCCTTAGTATAAATAGAGGGGTTCACAAGGCCTTTTCTCTCCATAAACATATTTGGAGGGAGAAAGTTACCAGTTTGGCACATTTTGCCAGCTGAGTGAATTATTTATACTCCACTGTATTTTCACAAGTGTAATGTGAACAATCTGCCCATCTGTACAAAGACAGTAAGACAGAGATGTCCTGGGTACTCCTCAGGAAAACCCACCAGGAGGTTCAGAGGCTGTGAGGAGGAGGAAATCCCCTGCTCACAGCATGCCTGCTGTCCTCTCCTGGATCATGCCAGCACACAGCACACTGCGTCTATGGCTTTACACGTGTGGAAAAAACAATGCCAAGGAATCTTTAGATAACAGTCTCACCAAGTGCAGCCAAGAGCTTAATAAAGGCAGCTTTCACAAATCAAGCGAAGACCTCTGGACACGATCCAGAAGAGGATATTAGGAAGCAAATTACTGCACTGACAATACACTGGGTTCCTATGTCCAAATTTTAACATATTTAGTTGCATTTTGTGGCTATTTCCCTCTGTAACAGCCAAGAAAGATGAAGGGACTCTGCACAGGAATGTATAATAGTTGCTTTACAAAGGGTATCTGAAATTCCCATTTCCCACCTTTCCATCCTTACAATTGCAATTTGCAGTCCCAAATCCTTCCATTAAATTGCTGACCAAAATTATGCTATTGCAATTAATATAAGGAGTGGAACAAAGTTTAGATTCTGCACAAGTTTAGATGCAATCAAAAAAGTACATTTATTAGTATGCACCAGATGCTCTTTAGCTTATCTAGTCATCTTAAATATATAGCATTGATCAACTACTTATATTTAAAAATCAGTACTACCCATGACACAGATGGTAGTATCCAGATTATGACAGGCACCAAAATTTGTGGTCCAGATTTCCAGATTCTTGCAGCTGGAGATCAATATGGCCAGCTAGACACAAAAATCTGCACAGGACACAACACAGCATCAGGCCAGGTTGGATGGGGATTTGAACAACCTGGTGGAATATGTCCCTGCCCATGGCAGGGAGGGTGGAACTAGATATTCTTTAAGGTCCCTTCCCACCCAAATACTTCTATGATTCTATCAGTAACATTTCATTTTCTTAGATGACCTTTTACAACTGTTTTTTCCTTTAGGATCTACTGCTTTTAAGGACCAATTTTATTCCACTTTAGGGAAAAACTGTTCTTTTCCCTAATGGGAATAATCTTTAGTAACCACTAGTCACCTCTTAAAGAGATGCCCATTCAAAGGCATGTTCCAGAGACTCACATTAATCGGATGAAAAAATATGTTCTCTATTAAGCTCTGGCATACTGCAAATGCACTGAATGCTTGACATTTTTATGATTATGCTAATGTTGCGACATTTGATGTGCATGTTTAAAAAAAAAAATCACGCAATTAAGTTCTCTGAAAGAAAACCAGAAAGAAAAAGATCAGTCACTGACAAGGCAGAAAGAATGAAAACTCCTTCTACCAGCTTTAGAAACAAATGCCTGCTAGTCAATGGCAAACATTTGAACTAGATATTTCAGATTTGTCAGTTTCACTCTGAAAGTAAAGAGCACTGGTAGGGTGACTTTCAATTTTTGGCACAATCAGTGGCTTCACTTTCACCTCTTCCCTCTACCTTTGAAGTATAATAGCATTTGTCATGAAATGACTCTTTCATTCACTGAATTATAGCCCTTAGAAAACTATTGCTTCCTTGTAGACAATTTCAAAATATGCATAACCCAATTAGGTAATGGAAGCTTTTAGCTTCATCCCCTTTTAAAATACTGCTTCAGTTATATCCCAGATTAAAGTAGGAGAGAGATATGATATATAATTGCCAATATAAATAATTTAGTCATTCCTCTCCCACACATACAAACCTGAAGATTAACAGGAAGAACCAGAGAATTAAAGGATGCTCTATTGGAACAGCACTGTGTTTGATGGCAGGAAGGCTCCATGGATCGGAGCTGTGGAGCCAAGCAGAAACACAGAAGAGCAGCAGATGCTGGAGGAGAACCACAGGGGGATCCAACTGCTTTTTTTTTTTTTGGTACAAAGCTACAGAAGACATAAGAAATGGCTAGAGGTTAATTACAGCAACCTGAAGGAACTTCATAGCAACTTTGGAAGCAAATTAAAACACATTCACTACCTAAGGTACAGTATACATTTAGTCTCTTGTTAAAGATAACTACTAGTCAGATTGAGCTTAAAAATAGATTTAACATGATGGAGATTTACTATTGATTACATCAAGAATCAGCTTAATTTCAAGAAATTCCATTCCTTACATGATACATAATCAAGGCAACAATAGCAAGCTTAAGAAACTGCAAAAAGAGACTACAAAAAGATGTTTGATCTAAAAAAATTGAACTCATGGTCAATTATTGGCAAATTCTGAGTTAAACTCTGAAAAGGAAGTTATAGAGAGGACTAAGCTAGAAAATTGTAGGAGCAGTTTCAGCTCTTTCCCTTGAGACAGTGCAAGATAACAATTTTAAGTTAAAGAATTGGTCTGAAACTGAAGGGAAGAAATAAAAAGGATATTCAAAATCAAAAGGAATGAACCAGCAAAGCACTAAAACTAAGAAAATAGCCTCTTCAGCACACTCAGAGACTCCTACACCTTTTCTGTTCCTAATGAAATGTGTACACCTGAACTTTATCGATGTTCTCAGTATTTGGCTTTTTTCAGATACATTCACTCTGGGATTAATAATGTAGAGCTACTCAACCGACAGAAAGATCTCCTTATATAATTGGCATGGCAACAGATGCAGCATTTCTCAAACAGATGTGACAACTTCTGGGTTCCACTTTTGCCACCCCTTCAGTATGACATGAACCTTTCCTGAGTTATTTTCTGACAGCATAAAAGTAAACCCAAAGCTTCCCAGATCAAACATCCTTCTCTTGAGATGTCCTATCCTAGAGACACCTCAGTTCCCCAGGTATTCCTTTCCTTGGTCACAGTCTCTAACAGACACTTCCTGCTTTTGCTGGCTGCAATGTCTTTGAGGAAGGTGACCCACTGGCCAGCAGTGCTCAGAAGAGGAGCAAATCTGGAGGGACAGTGTTTCTTCCTATTGGACCAGGTGCTTTAGGTAGGTCTGTGCCAACATATGAGCCCAACTACAAACACACTGCCCACCTGTAGGTATGCACTTAGCAGAAGTACACCCCAAAATCTGAAGCTTTTAAGGATGGCAATTAGCTTTTCAGTACAGATCAGGGTCTCAGCTACACGACCTGTAAAGACCAAGACTGAACCAGACCAAACATACTACCGCCTATTTTACTGTGAGTATTTTGGGTAGATTTCATCTGATTTTAAGCCCATTGATTGTAGATGTTTATATCTGAGCTAGTTAATTTAGGTTGATTTTTTTTTCAAGTTAAAGAAAAACAATAATTTAAAGATGATTCATCTGACCTACTTTTGCTGATCTACACTACAATGAAATCGATCACACCTTAAATTTTTTAAGTCAAATGAGTCAGTCTCTGTTTGACTTAATAAATAAAGCATAATTATTAGCTTAGAAATTTTGAGCACAATCTAATCTTCTGATGACAATGGAGACAAGACACTGCAGGCTGCTAGAATCAGTACACCTAAATTCTTCTAGCACTCCACATATACCCTAGAATTAAGCTACTTTATTTTCCACCAGTAAAGAAGACCTTCGGCTTTTTCCATCTTAAACTTCCTTATCTGATTTTTATAATGCGAAAAAGTTAAATAATATTTTGGTTAAATATTTTCTTCAACCTTTGTGAATCCAAATCAGAAATAGAAGTATGCCTAAAGCATTCACTCTTGAATATCTGGATGTTATAGGATCTGTGTTTCTACTAGATACAGAAAAATGACATATATAAGCTTTGGTTTGAATTCATTTTCTTAGCCAAATTCTACTAGTAGAAATAAACAAGATTTAACATAGTAGAATATCAGACTTTAAATGCAGCATAAACTGATGTGCTTTTTATAAATCCAAACCGAACTAGGGCTGTTTAAAACCCATACTCATTATAATTAAATGTAATTACAATATCCACAGCTTTAAATTAAGGTTCAATCGGAATTAAAATAGCTTCTGCTAAATTAAATTATTTTAAAATATAAGTTGAACAAAGTAAGGAAATAATGTAAAAATACAAAAAATAAAAGAAAAACCAAGCTCGCATATCTATATATTTTCCTTATCAAATGGTATTGTGAAAATTAATGAATGATGTAGCCATAACTGTAACAGTAAGTCAAAGAAGTAAAATTTAAAATAAGATTAATATTTTCCAAACTCTCCAAGATTTTGTTTACTTTTGCATTGCCAGTTCCCTCATTTCAAAATGCTGAATTCGCAACCATGAAAACTGACAACAGCTGGGTGTACCCAGCATCTCTGAATATCAGATTCAGAGCACCACACCTTCTTCCAAATTTAGAAACTTCTTTAGACTGTATTTGCCAAAGTTGTTTCCTGCTATACTATGAAACTCCTTAAACCACTCAAAAGTCATTTCTGAGACCAAGAGATCAAACTTCAGTTCCACCAAATACTGAGGTTGTCCTGACACTAATTGTAATAAGTAAAAATTACCCTCTGTAGAAAGAAGTGGTGGGGGTGCATATGAAGTTATTTGTTGGATTGCTTATAAGGAGTCTGCCTTACCTTTGAATCATTCTATAATAAATACCATATCATTGCTTAATTGTATGGAAATGGTTATTAGTGGTTCTGCAAATGTCTTGTTTGGGATTTGCATTTTCTCATCAAAGGATACTTCCCTGCCTTCATATGCTGTCAGCCTCTTTCAAATGAGAAAGCTCAGCACAGAGATGCCTCAAATATATCAGGAAGAGAAGAAAACATATTAAGCCACCAAAAAATATACAAATGAAACACAGAGACTCTGAGTTCAACCACAAGAGCTTGGAAATTAAGGGAGTTGTGGCAAAATATTTTGGGTTGACTAAATAACATGCCCCGAAATTTAAGTTACTTGCTTTAAAAAGAAATTTCAGAGACTGAGGTAGAATGACAAGCAGCAGGGAATTTTAGTTTCTGGCTTCAAAATCCTTTTACTGGCTTCAAAATCTTTTTACTTTATTTTATAAGTGCAACTTTGGGGGCTCTGTATACTTTAAACAACTGTCAAATACATCTACTGTAGACCTTCAGCCCTGAAGAAGTGGTTAGTAATGGGGAAGAGAAAAGAGTGTGGATCCACCATCCACTTCAGAGCTCCGAAGGTATCACTGGGTTTTGACAGGTCTCTCTTACCATACCAGTGTGGTCAAGGAGCTCCAAACTCATTTGCATTGTGATGATAATGTTGAACAGAACTTGATGTATTCAAAACCAAAAGACAGTTCTTTGGGGTTGCATTGATTTTGTTAAGAAAGATGGAACATTTTATTAAAATGTTCACATGCATTTACTGCTGGCTATCACCATAATGCTATGATAATAAATATCCATTTATAACACTTTTTAGCCTTACTGGAACACAACAAAGTGCTGGTTTTCCTTCAGCATGTCTAAAACTGTAAATCTGCAATAACTCATCCCATCCTTCATACACACATTTAATCAAACTACTTCAAAGATGTATTATGTAGGTATGATCATAACAACAGCTTGAAATTAATGAACCATAACTGCTTTTAATTCTAAATGGATGCCACTGCAAGTGTGAAATAATCCCACAGTTGAAGAAGCAGATGTCCATACAGGATAGAAAGTGGACTGAGCTACAGACTCTGGCTATAGGACACTCCTGATGTGAAAAAGTTCATTTAGAGCCCATTACTTACTTTGTCATGCACTATAGTAACATATACAAAAATTCTGTTTTATCTTTGTCAAGGCTTCAGTTTTGTGAATAACGATGGATTAAAATCTAACAAATTAGATTATTGATTTTTTTTCTGTAAAACTATTTTCTTGACTACTGTCTCTAGAGGTTGACATCCTATACACATAATATAAACAATCATTGTGTTTCTTACAATCTCCTTTAAAGATGGAGGACAAATTAACAGAACACTAAATCTTCTAGTACCAAATCTAAGTCTGAGAACACCAAAAGGAGTATCATTTGGAACTAAATAAAATGTAAATTTACAGTTTTAGGATACATGTCCATTAGGTGTGAGGGGAACTCATTCCATTACACAAATCTGAAGTAATAACAGACAGACTAAAACTAGCAGCCCCACAGCTCCACATTGCATATTCTTCTGCTTGAGGTTTCCATTTCCACTCAAGACTTGGGCAACTATTTTATTTCACTTGATCAATAAGTGGCTGCTCAAACAACATACTCTACTGATACAGCCTTCATTTGATCTGTTTCAAGATGCACTGCCCATGAAAGTCTGGAAAACAAATACAGCATTCATTCTGAACCACAGAATGGTTGAGGTTGGGAGGAACCTCTTGAGGTCATCCAGGCTAACACCACTGCTCAAATAGGGTCACCTACAAAGAGTTGCCCAGGCCCATGGCTAGACAGTTTTTTAATATCTTTAGGGAGGGAGACTCCACATGTTCCTTGAGCACCCTGTGCCAGTGCTTAGCCAGCCACAAAGTGAAAAAGTGTTTCCTCATGTTCAGAAGGAAACTTCTGCTTCAGATGGAATCCATTGCTTCTTGTCTTGTTGTTGGGCACAGCTGAAAAGAGGTTGGCACCATTCTCTTTGCACCTTTCCTTAATATATTTACTTATGTTGAGAAGTGCCTCCCTGGACCTTCTATTCCCGAGGCTAAACTCTTCCAGCTCCATCAGCTTTTCCTCACAGGAGAGATGCTCAAGTCCCTTAATCATCTTCATGGCCCTTCAGAGGACTCTCTCTGGTATGTCCATGTCTCTCTTGTGCTTGGGGGCCCAGAACTGGACACAGCACTCTGGAGTGGCCTCATCAGTACTTCAGAAATGGGAAGGATCTCCTACCTT